GCCATTTTTCTAAATGCAAGGATGTGTCATTTATTTTGATTTTTATTGTCGGAGGAATCATTCCAGTATGTAAACAACACCTGCAATAGGAAATGGTATAGTGATAGTCCATAGAAAGCCTTACCATTTGAATTGCACTCAATGTATGAACAAGGTGTGTCCCATGCACCCGACTGAGCAACTACGTCTAGGGGGCTCAGTGATGCCACAGAGGAAAGGGATGGTGGGGAAGGGAAAGAGCCCTTCAGTGAACCATGCATAAATAACAGAACCATAGAATATAGGAGTTGGACGGGATCCCAAGGATCACTTAGTCCAACCCCCTGCAATGCAGGAATCTCAACAAGAGCATCCATGACAGGTGGCCATCTGAAGTAGCAGAATAAGAAACGAAAATCTGACTGCCATTAGCAGTTGTATGTAACGTGATGAATTTCTTCTGTTGCAGAAATCACAATTCTCTCAATTCTCAGTCTTGTGGAGTATTTCAGTCACACTGCAAGCTCACCTTCATTGCACCTTCACTTTTTCATGACTACCAGCAACATGTGAGCAGTGGCGCAAAGCCAGTGTGGCTCTGCAGGGAAAATAAATTAAGTATGAGAGTTTTAGCTCAGACATGGACTCACTGAGGTGGCCTTTGGCAAGTCACTCTCTTGGCTGCACTTCCCCCCAGTTATGCAATGGGGAACTTGTCCTCACTAGGTTGCAGCAAAGGTTGTGTATATTGTTATAAAACCACATGAACCCATCAGGGAATGGAGGGAAGGCCATGGACCAGTTGGGAATTCTTGATCTCCTGCTGGTGCAAATGGGATGAGCAGCTGGATGCAGGAGAGCCTCCATCGTTCTGAGGCCAGTCATCTTTTTATGCAAGGCATATTCTGAACCACAGGAAGCACCTTGCTCCCTTCTTCCTAGGCTGGCACCACAAAAAAAGCAAACGCATCAGCCAAAAAGGAGGACAAAAGAGGACACAGATTGCATACAATTTGTATATGCTAGTTTATATGTATAGGTGCAAGTTTAGAAATAATTACTATAATTTAAGTCAAAACACAACACATCTCACCATAGCAGGGAAGAAGACCATGACTAGCTGAGCTCTGTGTGTCTGCACAGTCCATATGCTAACTATTGATGGGCAATTTCAAGACAGGGCTCTTTAAACAGGGTCTGGACCAGACAGACAGCCCTTCAGGTACAGGATTATCCCCTGCAGAGCAAGACACATGGTCATCCTACCTCTTTAACAGCTAGCCGGCCTCTTGGGAAATGCTTCCACCTTGCAAGTTGATGCAGATTGGTATTAACACCAGGTTGCTGCCATGCTTTGCCACCATCTCACAGGATAAAGCCAGTTTAGCGGGCCGGGGATAAGGCACAGTGCTTAAAAGTGAAAGAGCTGGGGCCTGGGCCTGCCTGGTAGCCCTACACTCCATTCTGGAAGCCCTGCTCCTTCATTCCTGCAGGGGAACGTCTTGTGAAGTTTACCGTATGGAGCAAAACCAGGATCCCTGGGTTGCATTGCATTGCTGACACATGCTGCATATGAGTGTGTGTTGTTTTCTTCTTAGAAAAGGGAATAAGAGGGTGGGGACAGCTGAGCAGTCTCCCTCACTTTGGGATGCCTTGGAATCAGCCATATTTACATGGAATGGAGCTGGTACAGGAGAAGAGTTGGGTTTCCGGGTTCTATTCATTTCATTTCATCCATTAAGCAACAACTTTGCTATGCAACATGCCATTGGTCATTCCTCATCATGCTCCAGGCTTGAGAACTTCTGAGATCCCATGAGCATCAAGTCTTAAGGCAAACCACCTTTTGTTTGACTTGCTAAAGGGAAAGAAAAATTGCCAGGCACATGTCCCACTCCCTCTTTAAGGCAGTTTGAGGAAGTGGGAAGGGAGGAGGGGGTGGGGTGGGGAAGGGCTGCAATCAGAAAGCATGTTGTTAGAACATAGAAGCTAGACATGGTTGTCTTGAAATCGTTCCTCTCACATGGACCTAGTTTGAAGTATGTGGCACAGAAGCCCCAAATGGCTAGAGGTGGTACAACCTGCCCTCAGGTGGCTTTTGTGTCCGAGTATAATCTTGCATTCTTTTATTGCAGAGCTAAGACTGTGGTACTTGATCTTCAGTGCTGATGTCAGATACCAGATAATCCTAGATTTGATTTGCCTTTTAGAAATAAGACACAAGTTTCTGGACCTCATGGCTGTTTACAAGCCTGATGAAGTAAAAGTGGTTGCCTGAGGGTGCTTCCAGACTGTAGGCTATTAGACATTGCTCTTCTGCTTTAAACAACATGTGAAACTGAAATGGACTTCCCATACTTCACTCAGCATTGCACTTTTGGAGTATGTACATCTTATTCTGTTCTGTCCATATTAAAGGGCGTAACATAGCATTATGGGTAAGAAGGTACGGCAGGTTATTGTGGACACTGGGCTTAGCCACACTTGAATTTTGCTCCACTCTTTAGTGTGGATAAGCCCACTGTTCTGCTCATGCTTCCAAGTTTTTCACAGCATCCACACAACAACAACACCATCAAAAAGACGTCCCATAACCCCCCCCCATTTAATCCCTATTTATCATTTTCACAGGTTCCCTTTTGATGAAGACGACTTTGAGCGGGTGCTGCACAAAACTTGTATGTATGAGCAGCATACAATAAACTGCCATGTGGAAGCGGTGTAAAAATGCATTTCAGCAGCATGTTCATTTTATTTGTTAATTTTAACATTTGCAGTAGAATGCTTTTTCACTGAAGTGCTATTGTGTCGCTGCTCTTATTTTTTTGTTAATGTGACAAAGCATTTTAACACAAATCTAAAAGTAAAGCTTAAAAAAATCAACACACTGCTAAAATGGAGCCAGATGGATAGGTAATAATGAGTGTTCTAAGGTGAAAAGGTGTGGCTCAGTTGCCCCAAATGTCACTGCACACATCAAAACCGCATTTCTTAAAAAGATAAAAAGAAGGACAGAAGAGTAGAGTTAAGGTGCTTCTGCAGCAGTTCCAACCATGTCGACATTTGTGGGCTCTCAAAAGAAGTTGAAAAAAGTACAGGGAAAATATAGGGCAGATGCAATTTAATGACAATGTCATGTAGATGTCCCTTAAAAGAGTAAGTGGACAAAGAATGGCAGTTCCAGAATAAACCCCTAGTGTGGAAGCAGCCTGAGACTTGAAGGAGAGTTGCAAGGTTTCCAGTGACTATGGAAGGAGTTCTTTTCTGTGTGTCATAGTGCCTATTTTCTGTGAATACCTCTTTTCCTAATAACTGGGATAATGTCAGTGTCACTGGGTGGTATTCAACTAAGATTTACTCAGGATAGACCTACTGAAATTAATGGATCTGACTTAGGGCTTATCTGTTGCTTTTCCCTGGGGAAAACTGCTCTTTAGCGCTCCATCAGAGCAAACAGCAATCAGGTTTTCTGTAGATGTGGATGAGCCCTTAGTCATGTTCATTAACTTATATAGGCCTACTCTGAGAAAAAACTTGGATGAAAACATCCACCGTGTCACTGTTGTAGGTGCCAAATGAAACTTGTGTCTAATAAATCACATTTGAATGATTTATGGGTGTGATAGAAAACTAAGTACCCAGTCAATTACGGTAAGCACATTTGCAGAATTTGATCTCCATAGTTTATTCTTATTGTGGCAAACTTGTAAAATCTGGCTATAAGGAAAGCAAGGACTGTCTTACAGAGGAAACAAGGTGCATGTTCATACTTTGAGGCTCTAGATGCTACTCAGTGCAGTCGCCACCATACGGGGACTATAGACATCATTAATCTACAGGGAGGTATGTTCCTGCCACTAGTAAGATGAAGGGATATAAAACCCAAATGACTTGAAGGGCCAAATTCCTCATCACTCCACCACTGAAATGTCCATTCTCCTTCAATTTGACAAATATCATTTCCCCCAAACCTATATTCCATTTGTCCACCACCCACTGCAGGTGCTTCACTTTCTAAAATATATTCCAGGCAGGGAAGAAAAGAGGCTTTGAAAGAGGGTTCATAACAAAAGTCTGCTTCCTGCACCTCCCCAGTACAAGGAGGCACACAGACATTTGCAAGTATGTCTTAGGCACAGATACCAATTTAATGTCAATAGCTTGGGCTATTTCCAACAGTGGCTTGGTTTGAGAGTAAGTACACCAGCCTGTGGCTTTGTGGCCCTGCAAATGTTCAGATTGTGAAGACTATAGTAGGGTGAAAACACTGCAGGATCTTATGTTTGATGCCCCAGCTTTAACACCACACTGGGGTCCTGAAAAAACAGGAGCAATGGAGCATGGAGCATAACATCTTGGGTGATTTAGACCGTGCATGTTCTGCTGGCCTTACTATGGCTGCCTTCTGCCCTTCAAGAAATGGGGCAAGAGCACAGAATATGGGCTCAGCTCCGGGAGCATGTGGCTTTGCAGGGATCCTTGCTACTATCAGAGAGGTCAGAACTGAGTCCGTCTTTAGCTACAGCCACACTGGATGGCCTTGGACAAGTCGCCATCTCTCATCCTCCATTCCATACAAGTAATATGGGAATTCAAATGACCTGCCTGATAACTATAGAAAGGACTACTCTATGACTGCTGTTACTACTGCTACTTCCACCACCAACATTTCTGCTGCTACCATCTCAGCCACAGATTTTGTTCTCATTTTTCTGGGCATTTCCAAACCACCCAGCAACTCGTCATCCCATTTCTGCTTCTATAGGCTGCCTCTGTTCATGCATCCAAGCACTGCATTCATTAGTTCTTTCTGCTGAAACAAGGCAGCGGGGAAATGAAATGCTTAGACCAGCATTGGAGGTCTCTCTCTCTCTCCCCCAGGCATGAGCATCAGGTGTCTTGGGATGGGGTAGGAGATAACCAGATGAAAGGCTTATCGTCAAGTCACTGCTAAAGCAAAGGAAGGGTTGGGCGAGGGCGAGGGAAGCCCTGGCGGGAGGCGCCTCCCCATTATCTCATACCTGGGTCTGGATACGGTTGAGGCCACGGAACCAAAGTATCTGGCCACGACGGAGTTCCCGCTCAGCATGGTCAATTTCCTCCTCATCCTCCGCCATTTCCTCATCAGTGATGTCATCCTTCCCGGTGCCATGCCCTGCCTCCTTCAAGCATTTCAGGTGGCTGGTGGGGATGGTGGCAATGACCTACAGAAGGGAGCAGGTGTCAACATTTCAACATTTTCACATCTCAACATTTTCTCAGTAGAATAGGAGCCCTTATGTGACCGCATAGCTTAAGCCAGGGGTCAGCAAAGTTTTTCAGCAGGTGGCCAGTCCACTGTTGCTCAGACCTTGTGGAGGGGCGGACTATATTTTGAAAAAAAATTATGAATGAATTCCTATGCCCCACAAATAACCCAGAGATGCATTTTAAATAAAAGCACACATTCTACTCATGTAAAAACATGCTGATTCCTGGACCGTCCATGGGCTGGATTTAGAAGGCAATTGTGCCGGATCCAGTCCCCGGGCCTTAGTTTGTCTACCCATGGCTTAAGCACACAAGAGATGAATCTGGTTGGCTAATTACGTGTTACTTACGAATGCATGCCACTTGATCTCAATGCCATTTACTAAATTACATTAAATGAAAAAGCCACTTTAGGAGTGGGGAATTGGGAGAGAAGTATTAGCAGGGCAGAAAAGGGGCACTCAATCATTTCCCATGTGACTTTCATCCCTATCAAGATCCCCAGAATCTGCCCAAACTCTCTATCACCTCCAGAAGCAGAAAAACAGTTTTTTTACAAGTATAAATTTGCTTGATTGCATGCGTTTGTGTGCAATGTTTGGTTATAATTCCCAAGATTCACAGCATTGGTTTTTTGTTTGTTTTTTGTTTAACAAAAAGTTTCTAGCTCTTCAGGTGAGGCCATGGGTTTCAGACAGTGGTGGATCACCTTGACCTCACAGCACTGGAGTCGCTGCAATTTACCCAGAGGATACGAGGGGCAAGGCCAGCATTCTGCAAACATATCTGTGGGAGCACTAGACAGACTCCCCAGTGCCTTGCCCCTCTCTCAGTGACCCCTGTCAGGTGAGAAGGCCCTCCACTCTGCTCTACCTACTGCCGACAGTGGGTAGGGCCTGAGGGCTCCATTGCCTTCTGGGGAGCCCACTGAGGATCATATGCCAATGCCCCAAAAGTGACCACCCCACAGCTCTAGCATGTCCAGTTAATGAGTCAGCTCGTTAACTGGACATACTAGAACTAAACAAGGGTGTTGATTGGTGCTTCCCCAGTTTCAAGAGAACATGGCATGCCTGTCTTTAGTATCTGACTATATGGTGCACTCTGACAACTCACAATAAAAGAGGAGGTATAATAAACTCAATCTTCTACACGGTTGTTGTGCCAATGGGCAGGATTCAGTGGCTTGCAATTTCTCAGGACAGCAAGAAAGAAGTACCTACATATGCTGCCTCTGTGCACAGTCCTTCCTAAACATTAGTCAGCCAGATCAGCGTTTTGTTCCCAAGCCAGGGCCGGCCCACCCATGAGGCAGTTGCCTCAGCTGCCTGCCTCAGGCTGCCTCAGGTGGCAGCACAGGCATGCCATGGCATTTTCCGTTTTGCCCAGGGCAGCAAAACAACATAGGCCCAAGGTAGCCAAAATTCTGTGCATAGAAAAGCTAGAGTCTGTAACATATGTACATTATGCAAAGTAAGCATATTTTCATATATTTGTGCTGAGTTCTCCAAGTCATAGGAAAGAGGCAGGATACAGTCAGCCCACTGAAACCATACTCATGGCTTCTGAGATTTTACAGTGCATTTCAATGCCATCTTTGTAGCCACCAGGGCTAGGAACTTGATATTTGTTTTAAAAAAATGAAAGCAAAGATTCTTAGGAAGCTGAGTTCTGCACTCTGCACCCAGCAGTTTTTCTGCACTTGTTTGGGATAGTGCAGTGTTACAGCCCGGCTGGGAAGTTTAAATGCTACGTGAGTGTGGGAAATAATCTTGAGCCAAAATAATATATCAAGTTTTGCTAGGTAATCAAAGGTTAAAAGACACATGGAGTTCCTCTGTAAATTCCCAGAGAGGACACTCTGCGAGGTCTCATCTCCTGCTTGCCCCGGTGGGAAAAGTAACAAAGGAAAAGAATCCTTACTGCTTCCTCTCTCCTCAGAGTTCAGTCTCGTTTTGCCATGGAACTGGAGAGAAAGGATGCTTGTTCTGTGTTCTCCCGAGAGCAGATTTCATTTTTTTATCTCAACCATACATTTTATAGCATAGAAGTATATTCTGCCTGTCTTGTTTTCACTGCTGTAACCAAGTCTGGAACTTTATGTAAGCAAACAATATTTTTTTATCCTGACATGGCTTCTGTGTGAGTCTTTTGTTTAGAGGGATGAAAAGGGGGAAGGCCCAGCCTGCTAAATTATTATCTGTCCTGGATAATTATTAACAAGGTTAAGGAACCTTGTCCCAAAAGTGTCTCCATTTTATGCTGCACCCTGCTAACCAGACATTAAACTCACACAAGTGAGGAAGAGGAAGGATTAATAATAAATAATATCCTATCCTCCACTCCAAAACCATCCAATGATGAGCACAAATGAAGACGACAGAAGAAGGGTTTTCTTACCTGTCCCCAGACAAGCTCCCCAAAGCCCACAAAGAGACACCAGAGCCATTGCTGCGCATTCAGCGGCGAACAGCTGAACGGTTTCCCCCCAAACTGCACAATGACGATCTGTGGGGGGAAGAGACGCAGAGTGAGACAAACTCCTGTAGAGGGAAGCCCACCCTCCATATCTATATGCACTGTTGGGAAAGGGTGGGCTCATGGGAGCTGGTGGCCAGGCAGGACTGCGTATAGACGAGAGGAGATAGAAGACGGGATCCAGGAAGATCAGAGTGGGCAATACTGACAATGGGAACGGAGAGCACACAACCAAGGGTGCGCAATACTCTCAATGGGTCATTGGCAACAAAGCTATTGTTATTATATTGGATTTCCCCATAAAGGGCTAATCTGGATTAAGAGTCACCTTGGTTCCCATCTTGAGAGAAAGGTGGGATACAAATACGGTACATTAAATAAATAACTAAAAATATGGGCTAGAATATTGATGACAATAACACTGTGCAGACACTGCAAAAAAACTTGTATGCATGAGAACCAATCCCACAATAAAAACATGTCTGGAAGCACCCCAAGTTGAAGGAAAGAGTCACAGATGTAACAGCAGGTCAAGGAGAACCAGAGGTCTGAAGAGGACAACCATGAAGATACAAGGAGCCAGAGCTCTCTCTGAGGCAGCCATATTGCTCTGAGGTGGAGCTATGGAATGTGCTCTTCTCGTTTTCTTAACCAAACTGCCCACAGTCTTGTCCTGACTTTTTCAAGGGCTGCTGGGACATGGGGCTAGAGCAATGGATGTTTATTCCAGTTGTGCCTCATTCCTCACCCCTCAAGAGAAAGAGAAGCCTAAATACATATGTATGCAATTGCACACACCTGTCTCCTGTTAAGGTTGCCTCCCCCTTTCCCTCCCTCTCTCATCTTCCTCACTTTCAACATTTATACAGTAAGCTCGGGGCAGGGGCCTGTCTATTCCCCCTTTTGTTACTTGAGGCTGTGTATACACACCATACCTTATAGCATATTCAAATCATATACTTTCCCTCAAATAATTCTGGACACTCGTTTACCCCACATGGAGTTATAATGTTCAGCAACCAAGGCTTTTTCCCCCAGCTGGAACTCACCAGAGCTCAGTTCCGGCACCTCTCAGCTGGGTGCCCTTTCCATTCTAAGAGAACAAGGGAGGCATTGAGTCCTGGCACCTCTTTTTCTAGAAAAATAGCACTGCCAGCAACCCTTAACAAATGACAGCGCCCAGAATTCTTTGAAGTGGAAATGTGCTTCGGATATGCTTTAAAGGTTTAGTGTGTACACAACCTCAGTTAAGATGCCTGATATATTGATATAATAGCAACAACAGCCTATGGGGCCAGGGGCCTATGCAACCTCATAAGACACGAAGAGCACAAGCAACAATGTATGATAAAATTTATTATTAAAGCAAGTGTATGAAAAGCCCAGTTTCTTAAAAACAACAACAAACTAGCCAGCCAGCAAGCCATCCCTGTATTCATTCATCTATCTTGTCTTTCCCACCCCAACTCAGTTTGGTCCTTCACATCCATTTAGACCAGGCCTGTACCTGTATGCCAAAGGTTCCCAGCACAATACTGCAGAAAATGGGGTTGCCAAAAATGCCATCAAAGACATTGCGCTCGCCGTGAATTTTGCGGGCGTTGATCTCATTGAAGAGTTGCATCATGACAAAGGTGTTGAAGATGATGGTGTAATGCTCTGAGGGCGGGGAGTGCAGGGGCGCATTGCGGCCGCTGTCAATGTCAAAGAAAACCTCACCTGCGGGTGAGGAAGGGGGGGTGTAAAACAGTGCATCACAGAGAAGACACTACATGCAGCAAACCAAGCCTCTCCCTCCTCCCTCTCTCAACAGTGGACCCAGACCCACCCCTGCCCCTCCCAACTCCAGCTCAGTGTCCTAAGAACCCACCCACAAAGAGGAGGGTGAAGATGATAACAAGCTGGTAGACAGCATGGCCCAAAATATTCTTCATCATGGTGCGGGAAATGAGGGGTTTGTTCCGTCCGTACGGCTTGCGCAGCAGCAGGGCCTCCGTCGGGGGCTCAGTGGCCAGAGCCAGGGAAGCAAAAGTGTCCATAATCAGGTTAACCCACAGCATCTGCACTGCTTTGAGCGGTGAGTCCTGCAAGAGAAGTGGAGAGGAAGGGGCATTGCGGCATTGGAACGTCAGGTATTTGATGGGCAGGGATAGCATTTTGATGGCAATGACATTGCACGGATGCTGTGAAAAAACATGCATACATCAGTCCCACAATAAATAAGCTTTTCTGTCTGGAAGTATCCAGTGCCATTGGGCGAACAGGGTGGGAACTCCACATTTGTCTTGAAATAGGTAGTTCTGCCCTGAGGGTTTGGAGAACTGTTGGAAGTCAGAGTAGTCATTGGCTCAGGAAGTCCTTAGACTAGACGGGCCAATGGTCTACGGGAGCCTCATATGCTTGCATTTATTTTGGTTCAATCCACTTTGCAAAGGTTTGTTAGGGCATGGAAAGCAATGAACTGGACCGGTATTAAATCATCTACAGGATTAGTTCAATCCAGAGAGAATTTACAGATCAAATTTGGAGGTGTTTCTTCACGCTGTTCCTGTCTGCTAAAAACTCCCCTGTTAAGGGTGCTGGGGTTTTTTCTGTCTCTGAAATAGTCCTGATTCAAAACCACAAAGCAGTGGTTTTGTTTACCTCTATCCTTCAAGACAAATGGGCCTTACCTCACATATTATCTTTGGAGCCTGGTAAGCAACTACTCCTAAAGGACCAATTTACTCATCCCCAGAATTCTCCCCACTTTTTCAACATTCTGCTCAGAACATGGAGCTGGGCCTCAAACCTGCTTCCTGCTAGTTCTCAAGTATGTTCTTATAGGAGAGCCTGACTTGATATTCTCCAAGAGCCATATATAATAGAGCAGCTGTATCCAGCATTTCTCTCATGTCAGCTTAACCTCTCTGCTCCTCAAACATTCATTTCCCATGCACCTTTCCACGATTCTCCCCATATGGCTACTCTTTTCCAGAAAGGCTATGAGATATACCTACAACTCCCAAATGTGTAATTTCCTAATTTTTGGGCAACATTAGCTATGTTCAGCAGGCATTTGCTTAGACGTGCAGTTGAGCAGGGATGGGAACAAACATACAAGGGACATACAAGCACCCCACCCCCAGTGTCCCAGGGCACACACGTCAGATCTCTATGCAGGTTGGTGAAGAGGGTTTACACCCCTCAGAAATGGTCCCCACAATCAGGAAGCCTGATATGGCTGGCTCCTGCTTGTGGGGAAGTTTCTAAGCACATCGCATCAAACACACTCAGAAATCCTCTCCTGGGGCTGGCTGAGGTCGGTGGGGCAAGTGTCCTCTTCCTCCTCATGGGCCAGCCTCCTCTAGGCTTTGCCACTACTGCACAGCAATGAAGCCTACCTGTGTGATGCAGGCGCCAGTGAAGGCCACAATGACTGCCACCACATTGACTGTGAGCTGGAACTGCAGGAATTTGGATATGCTGTCATAAACGTTGCGCCCCCACATCACTGCCTTCACAATGCTGGAGAAGTTGTCGTCAGTCAAGATGATGTCAGAGGCCTCCTTTGCCACATCAGTGCCTGCTATGCCCTGGGAATGGCACAAAATGAAGGGTACTTTATGATAAGAATCCTCAACCATCTCTCTCCCTTGGGCCCAGTGGGTCAACTTTATAATAGCACTTTAGCCTCACTGATGCACAAGGACCAAGCCAGCAATTCAGAGAAGGACTTCTTCTGCAGGAGCTTGAATTGATTCTGCCTTCATTGTCTCTTGTTGGAAAAGATGTAACCTGTTAAGTTTTTCTACCAACAACACAACCACAAATTTCATGCCTTTCTCCACCACTTCCTTTCCTCTTGGATGTCAAGATTTACCTTGCCAGAAAACTGAACACTTTCAAAACTTGACTGCTGGGAATATAATACATTATGGGTGGTAACCAGGCAGGTAAATTACAGTGGTATCTCAGGATGCGAACGGGATCTGTTCTGGAGCCCCGTTCGCATCCTGAACGGAATGTAAGACAAGACGGCACATCTGCGCATGCGCGGGTCGCATTTCGCCATTTCCACGCATGCACGTGACATCATTTTGAGCGTCTGCGCATGCGCAAGCGGCGAAACTCGGAAGTAATGTGCTCCGTTACTTCCAGGTTGCCATGGAACGCAACCCAAAAGCACTCAACCTGAAGCACATCCAACGTGAGTTATGACTGTAGTTGCATTCCCCCCAGGAAAATAAATGAGGCTTAGGATATGTCACACAACTAACTTCTTCAATTGATTTCAGTGGGATCTGTGTTCAACTAACAGGTTAGTCTGCATCCATCCCTTTGCAATTTGAAGCATGCAGTTTTATTTGCTTTACATAATTAATCGGATTGCGGAATTTGTGTTTCATCAGGTAGCTGCATTTTAATTGCATATTCAATATTAAGTCTTCATTTACATTTATCACACATCTGCAGAACATATCCGTAAACTGAAGGGATAGCAACGATGTTAACAAAGAATAACTGCTCACCTGGAGCTATGGGTGGGCGACATCTGCCACATGGCATGGCTGTGGTGGGTCCAGAGAAGCCGCCATCTTCTTCAGCAGCCAAGGGGAGGGGTTGGTCACCTGGTGCCACCCCACCTCCGGCTGCGACAGTCTTTCAGATATGGGCAGGCAATGCCCAAAAGGCCAATCAGGGGCAGGGGCTTGGGGGTGCACCCAGCCCACTCCTAGCCTATTTAAAGGAGTGGCAAGGGGCAGGCTGGATTTCCCCAGCCACCCACCCTGCCTGTTAGGGCCTGATCAAGTGAGGAACAGGCGTGTGGTGTATGGACCTTGCTATGGTTTACTCACTTGCCATATTCAGGGCCAGGAAGGAATTTTCTCCTGGGCAAGCAAATTGGCCGGCTTGCAGGTTTTTGCCTACCTCATAGCAACAGTAACAACTTTGGCGGATAAGGCATTGGGCTGGATCCTTAGTCACGGGAGTACCCTGTTAGAGGGGTCCAGGAGGGGTGACTCTGTCCAGCAGTCCACAGGGGGCCCAATGGGCCAATACACTTTGCCCCATGGTGGCCTGTGTGGGGTCATGGCACCCAATCCATGTTGGGGGCAACTCCCCAACACAGGCTGACCCCACCAGGTTCGTAAACATGCCCAATGCCTGAGCCAAACCTACTCTTTCCTGTAATCAAAGTTGTGGCCCAATTCAACACAATACCAGTTTCCACTATGTGCCTGCGCTGGCAAAGAAACGTCTATGGAACATATTTTAACCTCTCCTTTCTCCTGCCTAACCTAGAAGCCTGCCTAACCATCACTCTGACAGTAACCTCTCATTTCCCTCTACATCCCACATGTTTTGCTCATCTACATTATTCCCACAATACACTAGGCATGTGTATTATCTTAGTTTGATCGATTTTAAATTTAGAACAACATAAAAAACAAATGTTAAAATAAAGGGTGTGACGCATTGTACCTAATGGGATATATAAGAGAGCACTGCAATATTTTACCACCAAAGCATTCCAGAATGGTATTCATATTTTCCCCAAATTATCTGTCTTTAAAAAACCAACCTATGTTTGGAAACTTATACCACTTTGTAACTAAGCCAAGTTTTACTGCCTGTGCAACATTTTCTGAATGCTGTATGGATAAAGCACATGAATCTGATCATGGGGGACTTTATAAGTACACCATTTTTAACTTACCAAATGTGTGGTATTTTTCTATGCTAGGGGAAGAGGGAAACTTCGGAACTCACTTTAATAGGGCACATCTTAAGGTTTTACAGTTTATATTTCCACACTTTACTTTGTTGCATGTTTTGTGCATGCAAAATCTCTACAGTATTGGGGTTCTCTCATCAAAGAGTACTTGACCCAAATTTGGATCCAGGAATTCTCATTTGTATATACTGATTTTTTCCTCGCACTGACAAATGGAATACGAATGGAATGGAATTTAGTGAATTTTCAGAGAAATTGTTTGGCAGTTACAGAAGTTCTTCCAGGACTGGCTTCTTGTGATTCACTCATTGTGCAAATTTCTGGGATATGACAAAATATTTGGCAAGTGTAAAGGTGAAATTGCTCACTGCACTGATAACCAACTTGTTATATAGAAATTATCCTCCGAAGGAGCAATGACTGAACATGTCCCACAAGATGTGGACTAGAAGCAGCCATTCCATCAGGTTGCAGCAGAAGGAGAGATGAGACTACAGGGCCACTCCATCAGGTCTGCTGGGAGACCAGCTCCATGTGGTTCCTCTCAACTGTTTCCACCTCAGCTGGTCATTATGAGAACTTTGCAACTTTAAGAACTGGTGCCTGAGTTTGCTTGTTGTCCTCTTCCCTCCTCATCCCTTTTCCCTTTTGCGTCCTGTCTTTTAGATTGAGGGCAGGGGCTGTCTTATCATTACTGAGTTTATGTAAGCTGCTTTGGGAGCCTTTTCAGCTGAAGAGCAGGTTAAAAAAAGCTTCAAATAAATAATTAAACAGTTGCCCCCAGCATTTTGCTTTTGCACTTGGGATTCACCTTTTTGTCAGTCTATATTGAGACCAGTAGGCTCTGAGACATCTTCTGCAGCACAAAAATGCACATGGCTATCTAGTGAGATTTCTTTGATATATTTTTGGATTGGATACTTGGGTAGCCTGATTCCATATTTCAGGTCCTGTAAAGTGAATTCAGCATCAGAGTTTAAAATTTCGTAAACTAATATTGTACCTTTATTCTGAATGTTTGCTGTTTTCAGGATCATAAATATTTATGGAGCAGGTTCCTGGACCATAAAGATTAAATAAAAGTTGTATCAATTGACTATATTGCCAGAATGCAAATATAGGGAATGCACATTTTTGTTGCAACCCCAGAAACAAAAGGATATTAGCTTTACGATTAATGACATTGCACTGTTATACATACAGGATTCACAAACACGTTTTTGTAGAAATTCTTAGATCCTGAGATATTTCCGTATTGGAGCTAGAATATGTATAACTGGGACTATTCCTCTTTACTAGTTTAAAAATCACAGGAGTTTCAGTGCGCAAGATAGATTTGTGTTTTGCAGTCAGTGCTGCTGGCCCTTCAAGCAGGGTTGTTACCACTGATCCAAATCTTACTCAGTTCTTGTACAATCTGATGGAGTCCATTTCATTGGCTTTCAAAGCACTCCTATACGTGTCCACTCAGAAGGAAGAGATTGAATTCAATAGGACTTACAGCCTGTGCTGTATGATAAATTTAAAGATTAACAAGCTTAAAATTAGGGATGTGCTGAATTTTCATGTTTGAACATTTTTGATGTAAAAATAGTGCTTTTAAGGGCTAGAATAACCATCAGCCTGAATCCTCAAACTCCATTTTCACTCTTGTTTAAGGTCTGTTCACTTTTCAACCAGCTGTTTTTTCTGCATTATTTGCTTATTTTCAATAGTAGGGGTTGTGTTCAATGAACTTTTACTCTGACTGACTAACTAACTAACTAACTAACTAACTAACTAACTAACTTAAAACTATTGATTTCACCAGGTCTACACTGAAGAAAGGTTAGCTGGATACAACACAAGGGCTTCTTCCTGGCTATGAGATTCCAGCTAATTGGAGATCAAAGAACTAGCATGACAGTGACAAAACATCAACATGTAGCCAATGGGATCTGGCTATGTGATGCCAATTCAGAGCGAGGGCAGGCAAACTGTCCTCACTCTATGTGGGCAAGCATTTCCCTCCCTGTCTGCAGACCCCACAGACAAAGGATATGTGAAGGCAATGTCCCTGTGGACACAGGGAACTCAGTTCAGCATCTCTTACCATGGCAAAACCCACATCGGCCTTCTTGAGTGCTGGTCCATCATTCGTCCCATCACCAGTGACAGCAACCACCTGGCGCTGGTCCCCGATAGTGCTGTCGATTATGCCTTCAAGGGCAAGAATGTGGGTTAGCTAGTAGTGAGTGAGCTACACATCCAAATAAATACCAGTGACTTTACAGAGAAGTTTGCATCCATATATGGGTAAGACTTAGATAACCTGATCTGCATATTTGGAGTTCACCGGCTGAAAATGACAACCAGACCCCATGACAGCCCTGACTCCCACCACCCCATGTTGTTCTCCCCTGCATTGACTAAGGGCAAAGAGACTGGCAATCTCTTACCTTTCACCAAGGTGTGTTTGTCGGTGGGTGACGATCGAGCCAGAACCCTCAGTTTTGGCCAGATTTTATCAAGGCGTTCTTGTTCTATCTGCAGGGCAGAGAGGCAGAGACAAGTAAGATATGGCTACCAGATTTTTTTCAACGAATCTGGGGACACTTTTTTTTTTTTTTAAGCTGAGTAGCAACAGGTAGTGGGGATGGTGAGGCAAAAGACCCTGGGCCCAAGCACGCATGCATATTGTATAAAGGTGCAAAGCCCTTCTTTTGCACCCTATAAAACATAAATGCGCAGTTTTTAAAAAACTGGGCAATGGCGTGCTGCCTGCCAGTGACTCCCAAGCCTTCCCTGATCTCTTGCCCCCTTCTCCCTTTGTTTTGACAGGTCATGGGAGGCTTGGGAGTCGCGGGTGGCTGGCCGTTGCCCAGTTTTTTAAAAACTCTGCGCATTTATGTTTCGCAGGGTGCAAAAGAAGGGCTTTGCACCTTGCCTGGCACAGAAACCATGTGCCTTGCTGGACAACGGCCAGCAGCCTGCAACTCCTGAGCCTCCCCCGATTTGTCAAAACAAAGGGGGAAGGGGGCAGGAGATCTGTACCGCCGGACGTCCCTGGTTCACCTTTGGCAGTGGTGATGGCAGCAGGCAGCTCCTGAAGCCAGCTAGAGCCAACTGCGCTACCAGACTGGCTCTGGGCTGCTGAGGCTGCCGCTGCCATGTTTCCCGGGGACAGATTTGCAACTCTAGGGACATTCCGGGATGGAATTTGTCCAGGGACAGATTTGCAAATCCGAGGACTGTCCCCGGGAACCAGGGACGTCTGGTAACCCTAAAGTAAGAACTACTCACTAATAAAGCGAAATGAGCTGCCTTCTATTGAGTCCATAGAGTTTGGTATTGATTGGACCAACTGGCAGTGACCCTCCAGGGTTTCAGACAGGGTCTTCCCAGTCCTACCTGGAGTCGCTAAAGACTGAACCCAGAACCCTTTTCATGTAAAGCACGTGCTCTGCTCCTGAGACCCTGGACCTTTCCAGACACGGACCACACTTGTTGCAGACTGAGGCAGAAATAAGGCCGTAGACTGTGCTGCACTGTTGCATATTTCATTCATTAATAGAAGGATCTATACACCACCCTTAAGTATGACCTATCAGGGCAGCTAATAATATAACAAAACAATGTAAAAGTCTGTCGATTTTGGAAGAAGAATTCAATTCTTTTAAATGTTCCTCCCTGTGAGAAAAGTAGGCTGCAGAGCTGGGAAAACTTCCCTGTGGTTTGTTCAAAACTGAAAAACGGAATGCAAAAGCTTCTGACTTCCTCTTCTGGTGTGCAAAAAAGGAGGAGAGAAAAAGGAACACAGGAAGCTGCCTCACTAAGTCTGACCATTGGTTTAGCTCAGTGCTGTCTGCACCAGGGAATAGAAGCCTCAGGTCTGGAGCCCACCAAACCTCTGTACCTGACCCTCAAGACTCTCTCCAGGCCACATCCTTCACCAGCCCTCACTGAGTGTTTTTGCCTGGCTGCAATGTGTCCTTGAACTCTGACAATGCTACTTGCTTGCCTGGATAGAGGATGGTGAGGGGTGTGTCAGCATGAAGAAACTAGCCTGCTGTGCAAAAGTAAAAGTCACAGTTAATACTTGCCCGACTTTTGCCTCTGGCCCTTCCCACCATTGGCATGTGGCCCTCATAAGGTTGACCAGGAGAGAATGTGAAAAAGGTCCTAGGGATCTTAGTGAACCACAAGCTTAACATGAGTCAACAGCAGAGAAGAAGAAGAAGAAGAAGAAGAAGAAGAAGAAGAAGAAGAAGAAGAAGAAGAAGAAGAAGAGGAGATGCTAATCTAAGTGGCATCAACAGAAGTCTAGTGACCAGATCAAGGGAAATAATAGCACGATTGTATTCTGCCTTGGTCAGACCACACCTGGAATATTTTATTGCGTGTTTTAAAGTTATGTTTTATTATCACATTTTTGTATTGTATTGCATTGGATTGTTATAAGGTGTACATCCTTTGTTTCTTCAGCTTGTAAACCGCCTGGTTTTGGCTATTGTAAGATAGAAAGATGGTATACAAAGTAAATTTAGGAAGGATGTTTACAAGCTGGAACATGTGCAGAGGAGGGCAACCAAGATGATCAATGGTCTAGAAATGAAGGCTCAAATCTGCTATCACTTTGCACTGCTATTGATAGAATCACCCTGGAATTTTAGGAGCAGCACCTTTCCAGACACTTAAAATAATTTATTCAGTCACCTCTCCCTTTTCATTGCGGATCCGCCGGTTGAACTCCTTTCCTTCTAGGCACAAGAAGTCCTCCCCTGGCTGGATTATGCCACACTTGGCGGCAATGGCCCGGGCTGTGTTTATGTTGTCTCCTGTCACCATGCGAACTGTGATGCCGGCACGTTGGCATTTGCGAATGGCATCTGGCACCTGCAAAGGAGGCACAGGGCTCACGTTGATTTTCTGCAATTCAACATGTTTGCTGAGCGATCACTTGCCCCCATATTGAAACTGCAAGCTGGTTTTGCTGTAATATACAGTTATTGATTCCCTCACATGCATGAAAGGGTTAACCTGAGCCCTGAGCTCAAGTTACCAGAGAGGATCAGTCTCTCCCCCACCCCCTTCTGGGTCTTTTCTCTTGGTGCTCCCTGGAACAAACAAGAAGCCATGTAAAGCTGACTTCTATATATTACTCAAATGAAGGAAACGGGCACAAATTTTCTTATTTTTGCAAGTTATTCTGCTAATTTTGCTAATCATGGGAATTCCTTCTCCAACTACTGGAAATCTGTTAGCCATTTCTCTGGCTTCTAAAATTTCAGTAGGCATTGCTAGTTATGCCTTTGCTGCCATGAGAGCTAGAAACATGATGCCCATTTTGCCTAAAAATATAAAAGCAGAAATTCTTAGGATGCTGAATTCTGCAACGAATTCTGGGTTGTTGTTGTTGTTGTGCCATTCAGCAGAATTGCAGCATTCATGGAGCATTAGCAAAGTTCTCCCCGGGTCCAAGTCCAACATACTATCTATCATGCAGGTGGTTGAAATCCATATTTTTGTCATTGTTATTAGCAAGGGTCCTGTCTCCTCACCCAGAAAACACTCAGGATGGGCTGTGAGTCCCAAAGGACAGACAGGGATTTGTTCACAGAAAAGGCACCCTAGTTTAGCTGTTACCTCAGGCCGCACGGGATCCTCAATTCCCACCACAGCAATGCACGTCAAGTCTATTACAATATCGTTCTCACTGTCCCATTCGGGCTCCTTCCCTGCTGGGAAATCGCGGTAGGCTATGCAGATAGTCCTCAGTCCATCACATGCCATGGGCTCTATCACCTTCTTCACCATTTCATCTCGGTCACGGGGCCGGAAGGTGCGCAGCTCCCCATTATTGTTGAGAATGTTTGTGCACCTGGAAAAGGGGTAAAGAGGAACAGTTTACAGAGGATTATTTTCTCTTGAATATGCAGCTTTGCCACACATGATATGCAGCGACTTGGTCCACCAGGCTCCATATTACTTGTGCCTGAAGGGGTGCCGCAAGGTTCTGTTCCAGGCCTGTTGTTGTTCAACATCTTAATACACAACTTGGATAGAGGAATTGAGGCGATGCTCCTCAGATTTGCAGATGACCTCCAACTGGGGGTTAATGCAACCAAAGACAGCATCTGGATTCAAAACAACCTTAACAGACTGGGGAACTGGACCAAAACTAACAATATGAATTGCAACATAGGGCCAAATGTAATGTTTTACACTTAGGCAGGAATAACCAGCTGCACTAATATAAGATGGGGAACATTTCCAGTGTGATTGTTGTTCTTGGCATCCATCTGTCTCAATAGACAATGGAGTGCACCTCCAGGGGTGAAGTCAAGATGCTGGAGAATCATAGCACCTGCTGTGGCTGCAGAGACCAGGCTCTGACTTCTGGACATTCTCAATGGTCTCATTGCCTTCTGAAGTAAGGCAACCTTCTCAGTACAGTACTGACACCCAGTAGTTCAAAAGTGCCCTGAAATTTCCTTTCCCCATGTGAAGACATTTTTATTTGCCTTACTTCTTAAAACATAATTTGACACTGTTTTATCTCATTGCCATTAGTGTTGTATACTTCTCTGCAGCTTTCTTGTTTTAGTAAAATTTGCTCTTTTCATTGGTTTTAAATTGTGAGCAACATTGAAAGCATTTTTGGAGTTGAAGAGCAGGGCAGAGATGCTGCCAAAGGACTGCATGATACTGTACATACATTATCGTGTATTCTCAAGTGTTGTTGTTATGCTGGTGCAAATTTCAGAGCTAGAATGAGCACTCAGCTAATTCCGGGGCAGTAGCAACAACTTGTGTGGGCATCATTTAAACTCATACAAGGGAGCGCAGACTCACTTTTTAAGGACAATTTCAGAAGCGCCTTTGCTGAAGAGGCGGTAGCCGCCATCAGGCATGCAGATGACGGTGCTCATGGATTTGCGGACAGAATTAAAGGTGTAAACCTTGTAGAGCTTCTCCTCAGGGATCTGTTCACGCACAGGCTGGTAGTCACGCCGCAGGTCAAGCACAAAGCCCAGCAGTGAACACTCCGTCTTGTTGCCGACCTGGCGTGGCAAGCCCCCTTCTTTCTCTGGAGGCTGAAGGAAGCAGAGAATAAGAAAGGAGAGCCTCATTCTTCAGTTCTCCAAACCTCATCCGTTTCCTCCGCCAATGGGCTGAACTAAAAGTTTTGGGATCCCACAACCGCAGCCCTGCAACAGGCCTTGAATCTGGAGGCATATATACACTATACATTTATACTGTGGCTTCCTCTCCGCATGGATTTTTGGGAACTGTAGTGGATTGCAATGTTCTGATCAAAAGTTCTTAGTGTCCTCAAACTACAATTCCCAGGGTTACTTGGGGAGCACAGCAACAGAAATACAGCTATGTAACCAACGTAAGTATGCAGAGTTGAATCCTCCCCAAATCCTCTGTCTATCTTCCTGCAGGCTCTCTTCCTTATTATTTTATTTATGTTTATGATTATCATTGCATTTATTCATATAAAATATCTCAAATATATAAAATTACTAACAATTATGAAAGTGTGTGTAATACAAAAGTAAAAACACATCAGAAAGATCAAAGAGCATTATTGCTCATCCTGCAAGAACACAAAAAGGAAAAATCCTATGCCAATCTACTAGACACTTTTTATTCTAACTGGGTTTATATCCTGTACTGGAGCCTTGCTGGGGGAAAAGGTGTTTGGGAAGCAGTTTGCAAGGAGGTAAACCCAAGGAATCAGGAGGGTTCAGATCCTCTCTCACTCATATGCCATAAAGGTAAAGGGACCCCTGACCATTAGGTCCAGTCGTGGCCGACTCTGGGGTTGCAACACTCATCTCGCTTTATTGGTTGAGGGAGCCGGCGTACAGCTTCCGGGTCATGTGGCCAGCATGACTAAGCCGCTTCTGGCGAATCAGAGCAGCGCACGGAAACACCGTTTACCTTCCCACCGGAGCGGTACCTATTGATCTACTTGCACTTTGACGTGCTTTCGAACTGCTAGGTTGGCAGGAGCAGGGACCGAGTAACGGGAGCTCACCCTGTCGTGGGGATTCGAACTGCCGACCCTCTGATCGGCAAGTCCTAGGCTTTGTGGTTTAACCCACAGCGCCACCCACATCCTCATATGCCATACCAGCTCTTAAAACTGATATTTCTCCCTTGCTTTATAAATGACGGGGGCAAAATAACATTTACAGTGGACCAAGAGAATATGCCAGAGTCTTCCACAACATTTATGAGTTCCATCCCTCTGAGCTGCCCTAACATTCAAATGGCACCCAAAGGTAGTATTGCAGCATTGGCCTATCTAGCCTGAGGATGCAGTGGGGCATCCCTGGCCCCCACTCACTAGTATCTTGGTGGTGTAGGCACTGTTGATGGCGATGGCGTGCACAAGCAGATCCAGATTCTTGGGTGTAAGGTTGCTGGGGTCAGGGGTCTCCTTGTAGTGAGTGTCACCCATGTAGGACTGCACAACGGTCATGCGATTGGTGGTCAAGGTGCCCGTCTTGTCAGAGCAGATGGCGGTGGCATTGCCCATGGTCTCACAGGCATCCAGGTGTCGAACCAGATTATTGTCCTTCATCATTTTCTGCAGTCAAAGAATGAGATCAGGAGTTTAGCTGCACCCTAGTGTCTTCCTCTAAGGTGCTGAGGGGTGTGTGTTGAACCAGGACCTCCCACAGTCAGCTACCATCTAGGCTGTCAGCTGACCCCACAGAAGACCCCACAGTCAGCTGACATCCCAAAATATGCAGAGGCACCAGCCATTCCTTCTAAGCATGTCAAGTCATCTGAAAAATGCTTCCCTTCAGCCAGCAATGCAGACTCTCTCTTGCTTTGCCTAACATCATACTAGCCCTGAACCACCTCCCTTTACATCATATATCTAATGCAGTATTTGATCTCCAGCCTCTTCTGCTTCTGTGTCACGGTTCAGCCTTGAACCTGATGAGGACCAAGGGGAGCAGGACCCTCCAACAATCTTCATACTACCAATGACTCCAACAAACCAACACATCTGGACATATTTGCCCCAGGACTGGAGATACCTTACACCACTTGCCACTCTGCCCCTTATTTCCCACCTAGGGTCAAGGAGCAATGGAGAGAGAGAGCTGGGCAGGAACTTCAGAGATGCTGCTGAAATGCTTGCACATGAGGCTATCCAGGAGACGGGGAAGTGCAGGGAGACAACTGCTTGGACCAGGGCCTGGTGGGCCTCCAGCTCCTATACAAGCTTACAGTTTGAGCTGCTGCATTGCTGAAGTAACAAGACCCATCTAAGCTGCAGCCTTCCTGATCTGGGGAAATGGACACTCCTATTTTCCTGACCTGTAGCTTGTTCATGACTATGCCTCTTGTCTAGCATGTCTACGGCCTTATCAAGGTCAGGCCCAGATTCTTTGGTACCTACTGTAAGCTAGGCCCCAGGCCTGGCACTCTTCTTGACTGAATCTAATAGATATTGTACTGAGGGCAGAGCAGAAACAAAACATAGAAGGATCTAAAACACCATGCATCTAACTCCCATTGAAGTCTATCAAATCAACGCTATACCTTAATTTGTAAGAGATGACTATCAGAGGGCACTACTTTTGCCAACCTGGTATTTCAGAGACAGTCTCTCACACGGGAAGGATACCAACCCTGTGATGTATGCCAGACACTGAAAAATTGATTCTTACCTTCACAGAATAGGCTAAGGAGATAGTGACGGCCAATGGGAGGCCTTCAGGGACGGCCACGACCAGGACAGTGACACCAATAATGAAGAACTTGACAAAGTATTGCACATAGACAGGGGTGCACTCAGCCAACCATACCTTCCCATCGATTACAAATGTCTCAATAACAAAATACAGAACCAGGATGATGACAGTGATGGCTGACATCACCAGCCCTGGCAGGAGTAAGAGAAAGAAAGAGAAACAAACAATCAGGTGTGACAATTAGACCTAAGCCTGAGTACCTGTGATCACCCACCCAGCCCAAGTTCCACACTTTAAGAATATTCTGGCTCTAAAGCCAGAACACGAGGAATTGAAACTAAGGCTGTGTACGCACAACATTATATTCAATGCTCACTGAGATCTTGTTTTTTTCTATCTAGTCTACACACATTCAGGACATATTGCACATTTTATGCCCCTGAAAATAGCTTTTCAAATTCCAAAAATAAAGGCTCAATGCAAATTGATTTTGCAATACACCTCACCCTTCCCATGTCCATTTGAAAATGGACGGAGTCAGTCCCAGTAATGAGGGTGTATCCACACCTGCCTAACAATGTTGTGGGCCTAACAAGGTCACAATTACCAATTCTTCATTCACCTGGGGCATGTGCAGGAAGGAAAAGGTGTGGGTGACCTAACTGAGGGATTTCAAGCACATTATCAAGGAATCCCACCTACCCTTGCGGGCAGCAGGGTCATTCTAGAATTTATGTTGAGGATTAGCATGAATGATTCCATATTCAAAAAAACTACATTTTTGCACTACAGATAGGAAGTGTGTCCACATCCTAAGTCTCCTTTGCAAGGCCCCTTTGCACATTACTCATTCAGTCCCCAAAGCCACGTCAGGTATTTTCTGCTAAGACAAGGGTTGATAGGAGCAGGCTATCTAGAAAGGCAAAGGAATTAAAATGTTCAGAAACTTGCAAGGTGATGGGGTGGAAGAGAAAGAGGATCAACGGGTAACCTCTTTTATATTGTTTCATATCTGAGTTGTGCAGTGAGAAATTGGGGGCAGCCTTCGCAGTTCACAGATATTTTTGGAGAACTGAGCACTGGAGACTTGTTATTCACAAATATGCAAATTGATTTATGGAGGTGCCAGAGGAAGCAAACAGGTGATCAGTGCTGCCTCGCTGCAACAACTGAGTTTTTAACCACTTTTCTGCTACCCAAATTCAAACTAAACACTGTTCAGTTCTCTTTGTACACAAAGTTCTTTTGACCTTCCTCAGATCAGAAAAAACTGATTTCCCACCTTCACCTTAGCAAGTTAGGTGTGATTTCCATTCTAGATAATTGAGGCAGCCAAGTGCCCATTGTCTCCTCTTGATGACCAGACCAGGCAGATCTACTATGAAACTAATGAAGCTTAAGCTTCAAGGTCCCTAATCCCTGAGGGGCCCCAGAAGTGACTTTAGTGCACATTGCTTTAAAAAATGGGTCTAGTACAACTCAAATTTATTAATTTTTTGCTGTATATACAGTATTTCAAAAATCCCAAGTTTGAGTCTGTAGCACAGATGTTGTAAAGGTGGAGGATTGCGTTAAGTTGGCTGCTAATTCTTTCCCCTTTTTAACACAGGTCAAGACGACTGAGATGAATAAAAATGAGTTCATGAAAGTACTTAAGCGGATACCCAAAAACGCACACACAGAAGATTTGTGGAGATCTGCCATGGAACAACCCCATTGGGAACAACCCCATTGAAGAAGATAGCAGTGGTTACCCGGACCTTGTTGCTGGTTGTGAAGGCCCCCCCCCATTAGTTCAAGCTTCAGGGCCCCCAAAATGTAGGTCCACCACTGGACCAGACCACGCAAGGCTTAAGGAGAGACCCATTTCTCCGCAGTGCAAAGTGGGGACTGGGTCACACAACATTACTAATTGGAAGAGTTCTCCAAAATGGGGAGGTCAATGATGCATTGGGCATCACCACCTCCAGTCCGTATGGGAAAAGGCTGCGTGTCAAATTCAGCTTCCTGAGAATCTCTGTTTCTAGTCCTTGTCATGGTTATGAAGATATGCCTCAAAGTGGTCAATGCCTGCTGAAACCTCAGAAGACGGAGGGGAGACTGAATATGGTTTTCATTGCTTCTGGTTGGGGCTCCAATAACCAAGACATTTCATTTCATTGTCCCTCCCAAACATTGATAAAACCTGAAGGAATGATCAAAAGTGTAAAAAGAGAGAAATAAATTGTTCAAAATAAAAGGAAATAAATTCATGCAGAACTTTCTTTTCTTCTTCTTATTTGGGGGGCGGGAAGGAGAAGAGGAATTCATTTCTTTTTGTCATGAAGCACAAAGTTCTATCTACATCTTGTTTCTCATCCTCTAAGAAAGGCCACCCTCCTGCTATTTCTCAACATGGGTCGCTCTGCTTGGTCCTGTGATACAGCATCCCAACATACCTGCTTTCCCGATCTGCACAGCCAGTTTGGTGAGCTTCCCTTGCAGGACAGATTTCTCTTTTTTGGGCACACTGGCTTTCTTCTTCTCTCGCTCTTCCATCTCGCCACCCTCTGCACTTTTCAGGGGTTGCATCTCCATGGCAACTGCCCCATCCTGCTTTTTGGCTGCAGAGAGAGAGGGGGAGCAAAACACTGGTTCACCCATAAGGGAAGAATATCTGTCCCACCATAATTTCATATTAATCCTACAGCTAGGATTGACAAAAAACAAAACAAAAACAAACAAACAAAAAAGCCATCCTGCTCTTGTGCTGTTAAACAGCGTCCTGAGGCACTAGAAATAAGGTACTGAAGCAGGAGCTGGGCGGCCATCTGTCAGGGGTGCTGCCATGGCAAGATTCATGCATTGAGCAGAGGGTTGGATAAGATGATACAGGAAGCTGCCTTCTACCTTTGGTCCATGTAGCTCAATATTGTCTACACTGGCTGGCAGCAGCTCTCCAGGATTTCAGGCAGAAGTCTCTCTCAGCCCTACCTGGAGATGCCAGTGGGGACTGAACCTGGGACCTTCTTGCATGCTCTATCACTGAGCTACAGCCCTTCCCTTAGGGTCCTCTAATGACTTCCAAGGCCCTTTCCAACTCTAAATTCTATGGCAGATGAGGTTTTCCACATCTCTCTCTCCCCCCCCCCAAATCACCAGCTGAATTTCTGTGTCACATGCTGATGTCAAGAAGGGTCAGGGTCACAGAAAAAGTGGCAGCCCCATCCCCTGACTGCTCTAGTGGGCCTCCATTCCCTGCAGCACATCTGGTGCCATCAGGGATGGGGAAGCCTTCCCCTTCTGGGGGCCACATCCTGGTGATGATGGGGGCCAAAGACAAAAGCCCATGGGGCAACAGGTGTGACTTTGTACAATATGCCACTTTCCAGCCATGCAAAAAAGAGCAGCAACAACCACCCAGGAGCCCCCGCCTCTCTCTCATACCCCCCCAAGCAAGCAAGAGGCAAGCAAGAGTTCATGGACACATTCAAGCAGCCAATGCACTTGAGGAGGGGGTGCAGTAGCGAGGAGTGTGGCCTGTGGAGAGTCCTGTTGAGGGCCAGACAGAGAGGAGTGGAAAGCTAGATTTGGCCCCTGGCCTGATGTTCCATTCCCCTGTTCCAGATGCTTCCTTGGGGGAAATAGGAATTTGCCTCCTCCTACGGTAAAGTCGAGTGAAGAGCTGCTTTCTTAGAGGACCAGTTTCAGATCTGTCTGCAGAAGGCAGCACACACAGGCATCCACACTGTCTCTTGTTGCCTCTTTCACATTTTCTCTCAACCCACAATACACCCCAGCTGTGCAAAAATATATACAGCCACTCTAGTGCAGTCTTATCACAGGAATATCTCCCATGTAGAGACAGTGGAACTAAATATAGTTTAATTGTCATAGCCTCTCCCAGTGAACTCTGGGAATTGTGGTTCCCTGAATGAGATCTTTTAGACAAAGATCTCAGCACCTTTACACAAAACTACAATTCCTAGAGTCCTTTATAGGAAAGTCCTTCTAGTGAACAATTCAGGTGAACAATTCTTTACATGGTAGGTTCAAAAAAGCTTGAGCTCAGATGGACAGCACTTTCTAATACTTACATACATGGCTATTGAACCAAGAGAAACACAGGCGTGCATGTGTGTGCACACATGCACACCACTCCTATCCCTTGTGATTCTAAATACCCAACACTGTCTGACATGCCAACATGTATTTTGATAACACTCTCCCACTAGCCTTTGTACAAGATGCTTATTTCCTATGAACATAGGAGTGTCAGGTCCAATACTGGAGTTCCAAAATCTCCGAGTTTAAATTCCAGCTCAATAACTGACAAATATATGCAACCTCTGCACTTTGGTACACCCCTGTCTGTAAACAGGGATATTTTTATTCTTTTGTAACTACAGGAACTTTTCTGGTTGTGTTGGCTCTGCTTATTCTGAGCAGCACATGGCAGGCCAAGGACTCTCTTAGTGTGACCAGAGGCAGAAGGAGGAGATCAACCCTCTTGCTTTCATAATTGCACAGAAGGAAGAATGTGGAGAGGTGCAGCTTGGCGTGCAAAGGTTGGAAAAATTGTACCCGCTTGCCAACTGACCAGGATAAATACAGCTTGGCTACCTTTTACGATTTTTAGGCCAGTTGCCAGAAAAACAAGGGGCAAGATCACTCTACACCTCAATCCTCATTCACATGTGTGTGTTTTAAGCTGTACAGCTTAGATGAATACAAAGGTTTTGTGCTGGGTGCTACCAAGGGTTACCATCTGAAGACCTCCAAAATCAGGAACCCACTGTGAAATTGTAAGAAAATAATGTATTACATGTGTCAGAACATTTTAACAGCACTTCATTTGAATATACCACCCTTGTAATGTACGAATGTACGCGGGATGCGGGTGGCGCTGTGAGTAAAACCTCAGCGCCTAGGACTTGCCGATCTTCAGGTCGGCGGTTCGAATCCCCGTGGCGGGGTGCGCTCCCGTCGTTCGGTCCCAGCGCCTGCCAACCTAGCAGTTCGAAAGCACCCCTGGGTGCAAGTAGATAAATAGGGACCGCTTACTAGCGGGAAGGTAAACGGCGTTCCGTGTGCTGTGCTGGCTCGCCAGATGCAGCTTGTCACGCTGGCCACGTGACCCGGAAGTGTCTGCGGACAGCGCTGGCTCCCGGCCTATAGAGTGAGATGAGCGCACAACCCTAGAGTCTTGCAAGACTGGCCCGTACAGGCAGGGGTACCTTTACCTTTAATGTACGAAATTGAAGTTGTTTTGTGCAGTTATGGTGCATGTCACAAATCAATGAGGTTTCCCGTTTGCCTTGAAATGAGAAAGTCTCAACTGCTAGACTTGTTCAGAATGTATGTGCTCTGCCCGCAACTCACCCAAACCTCACTGGGCTCTGCTCCTGTCTCCATTGCAGGCTGGCTCTGGGCTTTGCTCCCCAAGTTAGCAAGCTTATTACCCAGCTCCACCTCTCATGTATTTCAAGAGATAACAACCCTAACAGGAGCTCTGCATGCTTTTGCCTCTGGTCACACAAGGTCTTGCTCTGCTTTGTTTAAACATGTCAGTTTTCTGAATGCAAATTACATATAGGGCTAGGAAATCTAGAATCAGTCTGTTAAAGCCTGGTGATGACTAACTGTTTCCACTATGGATACTACTCCAGCTAAATGTAGAACTACAGGGGAGGCATTCAAAATGTGTTGGGGGAGTGTCCCGGGATTTTTACCTTTGTTCTGATTATTCTCCACTGCCCCATCCTGCTGCTTTCCTACAACAGAAGAAGGGAACGCAAACACAGGACGCTTGAGAACAGACAACACGGCACCAGCACAGAACACACAGTATGGAGACAGCATGGGCATTGACAAACAAGACATTCCACCCCATCCCACTTTGCCCCATGGAAGAAGCTGACTAGGTGACTTTACAAGGAGATATGGGCAGGCAGAGCATCTATTGAGAAAGAAAACTGACTTAATCTGGTGGGCTCCATTTCTGAGTCAGTCAGCAGATTTCCTGCTCCACCCACTACAAAACCATGGACATAGCCCAGGCTGGGTGTGATCAAGAAGGATATCTTATTGGTTGTAGAAGTGCAGAGGGTGGGAGCTGGTTAAGGCTAACCATGATGCAGCAGGTTACTATTAGTGCACAGTGCTCAAGGTGAGAGAGAAAAGGAAGTGGGACAGTTTAGTGTCTGGTTAGGCTGGACTTGAACTGCATCCATTGAAAAGAAATGGGATAGCTTCAGATCCCTCTGAAAAAGAGGGGGTAGCAACTGACTCTGTCTCAACCCATAGCAAGCCCTGGATGTACATGCAGAATACATGGATATAATGAAGTGTGCATTAATACAGCAACAGATATGCATATGTTTATTGGTTATTTAAAGTGAAATGCACTGAAAAACAGCATGTTTCCTACTATAGAGGATATTTATTAGGGAAGTCCATTAATATTGCCCTATGAGGACCTTTAGAAAGCTGGTAAAATGTTACTTATTTTGCGAGAGAATGGAAATGTGCATATGTGAACTTTTGCTACTGGTTCTGTGGTTTGGCTGTTGGAATTGGTGCTGTTTTTGTGTGACCCAGTGTTTCCATGGAGACAGCCACGGTCCCCCCCCCCAATACAATTCCCTCAGAGAGTGACAGAAGGTCACCAGATACTGGTATTTTTAGGGGAACTTGCTTCGTTCCACTGAAAGCAGCAGCAGCAGCAGCAGCAGCAGCAAGAAGATCTGTCACATCAGCTGCTCCAGAATTCTTCTGCAGCTTTCTAAAGACGGGAGGGGCTTTTGGCAGAGGACCAAGGCCGGCATTGCTGGGCCCTCAGATTGGTAGGATTGTGAGTTCTAAAGTGGGCTCTGTGATCTGGTCATGATGATCCACTTGGCTCCCATCAGGTGAGATCCAAGCACTGCTGCTTCCTCCTCCATCCCTACCCATATATTATAAACTGCTGCGGCTTTGACAGCATCAACTACATTCCCCGGGCTCTCCTGCCAGGCTTTCCTTTTTGGTTTTAATGGTGCTGCTTTAAAAAGGATTGATTGTGCTGCTGTTGCAGCGAACCACCCTGGTGCGCCTCCAGCAAGTTGGATGGCAGGTAATGAACAAGCAAGCAAGCAAATAACCTAAATGGCAGCAGTGTGGGTTGTCTGTGTTGCAATCGCAGCTGACAGGAGTGCCCCTTCAAGGGAGCTGTGGCCTAGTGTGTGCATATCTATGTGGAGCAATTGCTGCCTTCTAAGAATGTGCAAGGATGAAGGGGAATGCTTAGAAATGCACGTTGTCAGTGTCACATAGTGAGGTGGCAGCAGCATGCCTTGGATTGACAGCTGCTAGGAGGGCAAAGAGGACGGTGGTGTTAGGGATGCTGTCCTCATGCCCTGCTTGTGAGCTTCTGAGGGGCATCTGGCTGGACATTGAGAGGAACAAGGCTGCTGAATGAGGTGGACCTCTGGCCGGAACCAGCCAGGCTCTTCTAATGTTCTCGCTGGTGGGGACATACGTGTCATGGATGCATGTCTAGCATGCATGGTTGGCCTGTCTGGGAGCGTATGCATGTATTCTGGAGACGCAGATATATGCCCTTCTGCACATACCCCCCTTGTTCTCAGTTTTGGAAGTCTCTGCATTAGCGTCTAGGGGAAATGAATGAAAGAAGGGACCATGGGAAAGAGGAGGTTGGAGTGCAAGAGGAGGGGAAGTGCAACAGGGGTCAGACGTGGTGGGGATCAGGGAAAAGAAAAACAAAACATTAATAAATAATTTTTCAGGGTGAACTGACAGAACGCAGCCGCCAGGGGGCCAAAAGGCCCTCCTCTCCCAATGCTCCTTTCTGGGCTTGGTCCTGAAGGCAGGTTCAGAACCAACATAACACAGTGCTCCAAATTCCTCCTCCCCCGAGCTGATCCAGGAGGATATGAAGGCTGATGGTAGACCTGGGTGATACTTCAGTTCAATAACAGTCTGAAACTGGTATGAAGTTCAAATCGTGATACTGGCTTCAGAATTATTGAGCTGGCAATACATTGTGGCTCCCTGGCTGCCACCAGCACAGGGCATTTTACTCCCTGTATGTTTGCCTTTGCCCGAGCAAGCTGGGTCGGTCAGGAGGAAAGAGGCAGCCTGCTCCGCTTGGCAAAGGCCAGCACACAGGCAGGCAGGCAGGCAGGCAGGCAGGCAGGCAGGCAGGTGGAGCACCTTCTCAGGCTCTCTCTGCTGAGGCTGGGTTGCAGAGGGAGGGAGGGAGCGCGGGAGCAGGATCTCCTTTGCCCAAGCAAGTGGACAGCCTCCTTCCCTTCCTCCTGGCTGCTCCTCTCTCCCTCCACAGCCCAGCTGCTTTTTCAGCCTTTCCCTGTGTTATTTCAGACACTGTGTTATTTCACTATATTGCAATGGTTAGCTGGCGATATATCACAATGTTGAAAACCAGATATTGCCCAGCCCTTGTTGATGGTATCAAATGCCAACAAGAGATCAGGAAGCAGGAGCAAGGACACACTCCAGCTGTCCTGCTCTCTGCAGAGGTCATCCATCTGACAAAGGCCAACTCAGTTCCATGAGCAGGCCTGAACCCAGATTGGAACGGATCTATATACTACTACAGCGATACCTTGGTTCTCGAACTTAATCCATTCCGGGAGTCTGTTCAACTCCTGAAACCATTTCAAAACCAAGGCGTGGCTTCCAGTTGGCTGGAGGAGCTTCCTGCACTCATGCAGAAGCAGCATCAGATGTTTGGCTTCCAAAAAACGTTTGCAAACCAGAACACTTGCGTGTGGGTTTGCGGCATTCGGGAGCCAATTTGTTCGGCCACTAAGCCGTTCGGGAACCAAGGTTCCACTGTACTAACAATAACAATAACAATGATGATTTTATTATGTGTACCTCGCCCATCTGACTGGATTGCCCCAGCTACTCTGGGCAGCTTCGAATAAAATACAAAAACACAGTAAAATATCAAACATTAAAAACATCCCTCTACAGGGCTGCTTCCAGATGTCTTTTAAAAGTCAGATAGTTGTTTACTTCCTTGACATCTGATGGGAGGGTGTTCCACACGGCGGGCGCCACTACTGATAAGGCTTCTGCCTGGTTCCCTGTAGCTTAACTTCTCACAGTGAGGGAACCATCAGAAGACCCTTGGTGCTGGATCTCAGCATTTGGGCGGAATGATGGGGGTGGAGATGCTCCTTCAGGTATACAGGGTTGAGGCCATTTAGGGCTTTAAAGGTTAGCACAAACACTCTTAAACATACTAGAAGCCAATGTAGGTCTTTGGACCAGTGTTGTATGTTCCCATCGGCCACTTCCAGTCACCAGTCTAGCATCCACATTCTGGATTAATTGTAGTTTCTGAGTCATCTTCAAAGGTAGTCCCATGTAGAACACATTGCAATCCAAGTGGGAGATAACCAGAACATGAACCACTCTGGTGAGACCGTCCACGGGCAGGTAGGGTCTCAGCAGGCATATTAAAAGGAGCTGGTAAACAGCTGTCCTGAATGCAGAATTAATCTGGCCTCCATGGACAGCTGTGAGTCCAAAATGACTCCAAGGCAGTACACCTGGTTCTTTAGGGACACAGTTACCTCATTTAGGACCAGGGAGTCCCCCACACCTACTCACCCGCTGTCCCCCATAAATAGTACTTGTCAGGATTCAACCTCAATACATTGACTGCCATCCATCTTCCAACTGCCTCCAGACAGGCACACAGGACATTCACTGCCTCCACTGGTTCCAATTTAAACAAGAGGTAGAGCTGGGTATCATCCACATATTGGTGAACACCCAGCCTCAACCGCCTGATGATCTCTCCCAGTGGCTTTATATAAAAAGCACAGCAGAGTGGACGGAGTCCTGAGTCACCCCACAAGTAAGCACCCAGGGGTCCAAACACTCACCCCAACACTACTTTCTGGACATGGCCCAGGAAGAAGGAGCAGAACCACTGCATAACAGTGTCCCCAGCTCCCAACCCTTCCACGGTTTTTGGGAACGATAGACCAGCAGAGTTGTTGACCTTTTTTTTTTGGGGGGGGGCAACAAGGATCGACAAGGAATGGCCCGTAATCAACTGGTTGGACATTCCTGGATTAAGATATGTTTATAGAATTAGGCTGCCTGCTGGAAACAACAGAAGGAGAAGACTGGGAGGAGTGAAAAGATTTCATCCTATAGAGCTATTTTCCTTGAAAACTGGAACCTTGTTGTGCTGGGAGTGATTGAGTGGAGTTACTTCAGTGTTTCTACACCTTATGTGGGTCTGAGGTAGTTAATGAGTTGAACCCTTCTTGTACTGAAGGCCCAACAATAAAGAGACAAATGCCGAAGGCTTTGAGTCATGACCAGTCTCTTTCTGAATCAGACTCCAAAAATGATGAGCCATAATTCGGCAGATGAGTCAACAATGTTGAGCAAGAGTGCCGAGTCAAATGCAATTACACTGTGATGCCCTTTAGATGTTCTCCTGGCTGTGTGGGAGTCACTTATCCATGTGCAACTGAGAGAACATTTAAATGGCCCAATCACATGGGCCTTTCCCATGGAATCAGCAAACCCTCTCCCTGCTCCAGGAGCAGCACCTTTTCTGTGCAAAGGACCCTCGTAGTTTACCTCTGTGCATGTGGCTGGGCAATTTAAATGCTCCCAGTTGCATGAGGAGCTGCCTATGAATAAGCAGCTCCTATGTCGCTACAAGAACATTGAAAGGACACTTGTGCCAAAGGACAGCTGGATGGGACTGTTTTACGTCAGGGAAAAGAGGTGACCTGCACCTGGATCTGGATCAATAGGGCAAAGGGATGATGGCGAAATTGAGAGGAGGGCTGGCAGCAGAGCTGGCTGGTCAAGCATTTCTGCTTCAATTTTTTAAATTTTTTTAAAAACACACAAGTTCTTGTGAAAGTTCATCAGTATTTTAGTGTAGATTTCTTCAAATAAATACATTTTTGTATGCCATTTTGCCTAATATGTGGGAACTAGGTAAGCTGAAGAGAGGCTTAGAGTGTCAAGAAGTGAAGCATGTTAGACAAAAGCAGGAATGATGAGCAAGGTCTGTAACAGCTGTGTCTGGTTTCACAGATGGAGAAGTCACAGGAAAAGGTAGTAGGGACTGAAAGAGGCAAGATCCGGTCCAGATAGGGAAGGTGGTAAAGTGAGGGACAGAGCCAGAAAAGCTGGTGGGCCCAGGAGACTTAATGAGCCCAAGAGAGGTGCAGTTCTGTCTCAGCCCTCAAGTTTGAGTCTGCTCAAACTGTAAGAAACCCCCTAAACTGCTATCCAGGAACAACAGGCCAACATCTACAGCCCACAAAATACTTATTTGGTATCCAGTGCTACTGACCTGGATGCTGAGTTATAGTATGAGGCAAACATGTTTAATAGTGTAAGTTAAATAGCCGATTCAGGGAAAGATCTGGGCAGCAATATAGTACTGTGTGAGATATTGACTCTGTCCACATTCTACTTTTGCAGCACTTTTGAGTCACATTATTTCCCTCAAATAATTCTGGGCATTGTAGTTTGTTAAGGGCTGGACATTGTTTGTGAAAGGTAAACGACAGTGCCCAGAATTCTTGAGGGAAAGAATGCCTGAAGGCACAGCTCTGCTTGTATAACCAAGGACAGCAGGATGATGCTAAACTTGAGGGCACTTGAATGAATTTGATGACCTTGAAGGCAATATCTAAGTAGTGAGGTCCTATTATGTTGTAACCATGATTGTGTGCATTGACTTAATACTACACAGATGAGAGACATTGTGGACAAAAGCTGGCCAATTTTGAAAACATTGTTGAAAGACGGACCCGAGAGAGACTGATCATGTCACTTTTGCATTGGTAAACAAATGGCTGACCTGAACATGAAGACTTGAAATGTGTCACAAAGGCTACAGATATGCACTGGGGAATGGCTTACCTAGGCCAGAGGGAATACCTTACCTTTTTTGTCTTTCTTTTCCTCCTCTTCTCCACCAGCACCCAGCAAAGTGAAGATAATCCCAGTCTGTGAGTTGACCCCAACGGCTGTAACAACCATTCGCCCAGAGCCTTCCATGACGTGGGTGCCTGGGAAAACAAAGGAGAGTCCGTAGGGTATCAGAAGAAAGTTGGAAACCAAGCCAGGAGCAGGAAGCCTCAGATCCCTTGGAGTCACTACAAGATCCCCTAGGCCAGTGGCTATTCAACTGTGCCCTGGGGAACACTGTGGTTCCGTGGAAGCTTAACAGGAATTTCTTGATGAGAAGACCAATAAAGGCAAACAACTCCCCTGAAAGGTAATTTGCCAACCACTAACAATTTTCCTTCAGGATCTGCAGCCACGGAAAGTACAGGGTGATTTTTAGGTACATTATGTTTATGTGGGACATTGGTGAGCCTGAAAGGTCCTGGCCAGCACTCTGCATATGCCCCCTAGACCACCCTCCAGGATCCATTGTAAATGTTCATGAGTGTTTTGACAGACAAAATGAGGCACAAAAGGTTTCCTGAAGGTGGAAAGTTTGAAAACCATGGGATGGTAGCCTACTAAGTGTTGCTCAGAGTAGACCAATTGAAATGAATGAACCTAACTTAGCAAGAGTCATTCATTTCAGTGGGTCTGTTCTGAGTAAAACTTAGTTGAATACCACCCCACAGTTGAGTAAATGATCACTTGGGTAGCCCCACTTCTCCCAGCTTCAGCCCCTTGTTGTACAGGAATTATGGGACTTGGGTGCCAACTGTAGTGGATGGATGAGGAAGAAGATTGTCAGGGTCCTCAGGCAGTGTGAGGTGCCTCCAGCCCCATATTTTCTGAAAGGAGGTGGGAAAAATGCAATTGAGTAGAATAGTAAAAAATAATGGGCATTGGTGAATGTCAGAGGCGCCAGCTTGCAAGGGTGACTGGGGGCCCCTATGTCATGTGTGTGATGTTGTGATGTCCCAATGTTGCACATGTGACGTCAAGATGTTGGGAGGAGCCAGAGATGGGTAGGCTTTGGGAAGATGGTGGGAGGGCTCTTGGACCCTGTCGGAGCATTGCGCCTCCCTCCCTAAACTGGGCAGAAGCTTCCTGGGCTTTGGGAAGGGGGTGCCAGGCATCTGACAGGATGCTGGAGCCCTCCTTCCCCCTTCCCAAAGCTCTGTGCTTTTGGGACTTTTGGGTGGGGATGGCAGTGGCTTCTTTCTCCTCCATGGCCGACTCGGGATATGTTCTTCTCCCTCCCTTTCACTGTGCTAGGCTTTAGACTGTCTGCGCTCTCTCCAAATTTCAACTCTCCTTAGAATCTTCTCTAGTTCTCTCCCAGCCTCTTCAGAATCTCCTCCAAACCCTCCAGGCTCCTGCAGTAGCTCCTGCAACAGCTCCCAACATGCTTCAGATGTGCTACTGCAAGCTAAATGGTGTTAAGATCAGCAGAGAGAGCCTTCTAAGCTACTGAATAGCAACAATAATAATTTTATTATTGGTAGCCTGCCATCTGACTGGCTTGCTCCAGCTACTCTGGGTGGCTTCCAACAAACACAAAAGCGTAAGAAAACATCCCTTCTCACAGAGGTCCATGCATCTGGCCCCTTCATTGTACAGTGGTACCTCGGGTTAAGTACTTAATTTGTTCCGGAGGTCCGTTCTTAACCTGAAACTGTTCTTAACCTGAAGCACCACTTTAGCTAATGGGGCCTCCTGCTGCCACCGCGCCGCCGGAGCACGATTTCTGTTCATATCCTGAAGCAAATTTCTTAACCCAAGGTACTATTTCTGGGTTAGCGGAGTCTGTAACCTGAAGTGTATGTAACCTGAAGCGTATGTAACCCGAGGTACCACTGTATAGCTTTTGTCATATGCTGAAGACCATACCCTATTATTTCAATAATAAATTGTTTTAACTTATTTTAAGATTGTGTTTTTCAATTGCTGTAACACACCCTTATGGTGAAGGCCGAGTAATAAATCTAATAAATAATAATAAGTTGCATTTTGCAGTTGCACTTTGTTTTAAAATATTGTTGCAAGTGTGACTGTCACACTTATTGTGAAGGGAGTATGGTTTTGCAACAGGAGCTGGAACTGACGGAAGGCAATAGGAGAACTGGCCGAGTCGCCGAGGCAATGGGGGCACACTTCTGCTCCAGACACCCATTCCTACATCATTCGGCATATGCCAAAGTCACCCTGGGTGCCATAGCAGCATTCACAAGCTCTCCTACAGCAGAGGTTTTCAAGTTGTGATCCAGGGAGCTCCGAGGGAAGTTTATCTGGGGCTTTGCAAGGAGAAGATCAGCAGTGGTGATAGCAGCTACAGGTGAAGCTACAGGGTGGTGCTTTAAGACTCAGTTCGTGTGAGGCAAGTAGGCCCCCAGCCCCTTAAACCAAAGGGGGCTCTATGGCAGCCACACTCGTCCCTTGCAGATGCACCACAGTGGAAAGGGTTTCCTGAAACCAGAGAATTTGGAGGCTACTGTCAGGGGCGGAGGAAGGGGTGTGTGGTGGGGGCGGTGCGACCCAGGTGTCATCACTGAGGGGGGTGACATTTGGCGTGCCGCCCGCCTATGACTCCCAAGCCTACCCTGAGCTGTCGGGGGAAGGGGTGGAGCTGTGCCACCTTGCCAGCGGCCTTTCCCCCTTCCTCCTTCATTTTGACAGCTTGGGGGAGGCTTGGGAGTCACGGGTGGGTGGCGTGCCATTGCCCCCCACTGCTTCCTGGGGGAGGGAAGCCTCCCCTGAGCTGTCAAAAGGAATGGGGAAGGGAGGAAGGCTACTGGCAAAGCAGCATGGCTCCCCCCCCACCCAGGAAACATCCTGCCATGGGTGGCTCACTCTGCCCCATGGGTGTCTCGCCCCCGGGACGCTGGCCCCGCCCCATGGGACACTGGGTGCACAGGGGCAGCTAGTTCCGCCTCTGGCTACTGTCAGTGCACAGCAACCAAATCAGCACATGGTCCTTCTGGCTTTCCTGAACTGCATCCCTTTCTTTCTTGTTCGCTCACCTGACAGCAGCATGGGATCCTTTTCCACTGATTTGCGCACGTGATCTGACTCCCCCGTCAAGGAGCTCTCATCAATCTTGAGATCGTTCCCCTGGATAAGCACCCCATCTGCAGGAAGCAAGTCACCTGGAGACAGAAGCAGGTCAGAGTCATGGTCTCAAAGAACAACTCTGCTTAGGCTGCAATCCTATAAACACTTACCTAAGAGGAGTAATTCCCACAGGACTCAGTGCATCTCAGGAGACATGCACAGGATAGTGCTGTTCGTCTCCAAATACCACCTTCTGTTCCCTATCCCATCTCAGTTTCTTAGCGCTAGCAGGGGTGCCCATTTAATTACCCAATCCATATACTATGTTTGGAAAATGTGGTCTGCTAGAAGGATGTTCTCAATGTTTGTTCTACCACTGCAAAGCTTTCTGAACCTGGAATTACGAGGATGCCTTCTCCCCCATGCGCCACTGCAAATCTCTTGACAGTGCACCCATGCATCACATCTGCAAGGGAACCTCGCATAGAGGTAGTCTCTTGGTAACTGCTCCACAGCTGTGAACCAGCCCCATCTGATGCCACAGGCACCCTTCATGCAGCAAGGATCTCAAGGATTCCTCAGCAGATGTTAGATCTCAGGACTGTCACAGATCAAATCCCAAAAGTTTATCTTGATATCCCCACCCAGGCTCTCCCTGTGACAGTCACACCTTCAGCAGGCCCCCAGTAATAAATCCAGTCCAGCCCACCCAGCCCCTTCCTTGTCCCTTACCATATTTGATTTGAGCAATGTCCCCGGCAACCAGTTCAGCCACAGGGATCTGGACCTGCTGCCCATTGCGGATGACGGCAAACTTCTGCTCCTGCTCTATGCGGCTCTGCAGACCTCGGAACTGCTTCTCCTTACTCCAGTCATTGAAGGCTGTGACCAACACTACACAGATCACCGAGAGCAGGATGGCAGCACCCTCAATCCAACCAGCTTCTGACTCACCCTCATCCTCTGCGTTGGCTGCCACGTTCCCGCAGGCTAGGAAAATGGGGGAGAAAAAGAAGGTGTTGGAGAGGGAGGAGGCTCCTATCATTATGACCACATCATCCTTCAGTCAGGGATGACGAACCAAGGTACCTCCAGAAGACACTGGATGACAACTCCCATCATTCTTAGCCACGGAGTGGGGATGGTGGGAGTTGGGGTACAACAGCCTCTAGAAGGCCACCATTTCCCCATACCTGTCTTAAGTCTTCGAGGTTTTTTCTTACAATCAAGTGGTACAGAATTTTTATTAAAGGCAGAGGTCTGGGGCCCTGCTCAGCAGATCACTTTGCCATCTAAAGCAGGGGTGGGGGCTAGACATTAAGATCATGAAGTCCAGAGTCTGAAATTACCTAAATCACCTAGCCCTAGTCCTTCTTCCAGATTGTCAGTTCCCATTCTGTGAATGAGGCAAGTTAATTTTCTGGTGTACATATGTCCCGAACATCTCACAACTTTCAAGTATGTTCCATAAATATAAATTTATCTTGGTGAACTTGCTTGTTGTTAACTACCAACCACAACTACATGGATCTGGATGATTGCCAAAGGCTACCCTAAATGGGTCATTGCATGGGTACGCTTGGAGTGTAAAGCCCAGTTCAGACATGGACTTGTGCAGGAGGACTATGGGAATAGCAGTCCTCTACCTCAGAGGGTTGTTATGCAGCTGAAAGAAGTAGAGAATCACATAATACTCTTTGTACATTAAAAGTACTTCATAGGAACAGGAAAACAAATGAATCAGCAGAGTAGGTAAATGGAGCAGTCGGTGGAAAGTGATGGAGAACTCGATAAATTTCAGAAGACTGGAAAGCAGAAATAGTTGTTGATTCGATGGATGTTTCAAGAAGGCACATTGATCTTCTGTTGAAAGACAGATCTTAGTTTTGACCTCAGCATCGTGAAGCCAAAGGCAGTCTGTGTGGGCCTGGGATCAGGCCTGGGATCCCCAACATATGAAGCTCACCTTGCTTCTACAAGATAGAAGGGCATTCAAGTCTGTTAGCACCTAGGCTGTGGGACACCTTGCCTTGTAATATTAAGGAAGCACTTCAGCACTTTGCTTCAAATGCCTGCTTAAGACCTTATATTGTTGTTTAATGAATGCTAGCTGTCCTGGGATCTTATCTTCAGGTGGGGCATAAGGTGACCAGCTAGCTAGCTAATGGGGGAACCTATGGCCCTTCAGGTGTTGTTGGACTTCCATCAGCCCAGGCCCTCACTGCCAATGGTGAAGGATGATACAGCTCAACATCTTCTGGAGGGCCACAGGCTGCCAGCCCTGCTGCAGGGTCTTATGGGAAAGGCAATATCCTAGATCAGTGTTTCCCAACCACTGTTCCGCGGCACACTAGTGTGCCGCGAGATGTTGCCTGGTGTGCCGTGGGGAAAATTCGAAAGATTTTTTTTGTGTGTGTGTAAAAGTCAAATTAGGTCCTAATCTATCCCTTGAGCGCCTCTTGTCCGTTATTGTGACGCATGAAGCGTGTTCCAGCCCACTCCCCGCCCTCCCTTGCTTCTCTCTCTCTCTCTCTGTGGCGTTCTCCGCCGCTTCCTGCTGGGCATGCGCAGCTCGCCTCGCGCTTCCATTCCGACCCCTCCTTCCCCCGACTACCCCGCCACTCCGTTCCTTTCTCTTTCTCGCGTGTCAGAGAGCGGCGGCGCGAGCGCGGGAGTTCCCTCAGGGCTGACGGAGGGCTCGAGGACGAGGAGGCAGGACGTGGAGGCGGAGAAAGTGGCGGCGGCCACCCCCCACCTCCGGCTCGAGGCCCGCGTAGAAAGCTGAGGGGGAGAGATAGATAGAGGTGGGACGCGGCGGCAGCGACCACGACCAACCGCCACAGTAGTTGTAGCGGTGGCGACGGCGAGCAGGGACTCCCGCTCTCTCTCCGTCGTGTCTCTCTCTCTCTCTCCCCCCGGGCCCGTCCGTTGAGTCTCCCGCGCACCTCGGCTACAAGATGAGCATCGAGATCCCGCCAGGTCTGACTGAGCTGCTGCAGGGCTACACGGTGGAGGTGCTGTGGCACCGGCCGCCGGACCTGCTGGCCTTCGCCGCCGAGTACTTCGCCAAGCCGCGCTCTCCTTCCTGCCTCGCTTTGCTGCCTCCTCCCCCCCACCCCCAAAGCTTGGAGGTTCCCCGGCACCGACCGGCAGGTTTGACCCCCTTCTCACACCTGTTCGCGCTCCTTGCACGGAATGGGGCGGATGGGGAGGAACGGGGCTCGCCGCTGCCTCCGCTCGCCCTCCCCCCCTCCGCCGGCGGTCCCGCGATTCTTGGCTTTTTGGTGGTTGGCACAGAAGGAAGGCAAGGGGGAGGGAAAAAAATTGAATCTTACACTTTCGTGCGTCCCTCCCGGCGTGACGCTGCGCGCTGACGTCACGGGGCTGTAATGGTGGTGTGCCTCGAGATTTTTTTCATGAAACAAGTGTGCCTTTGCCCAAAAAAGGTTGGGAAACACTGTCCTAGATAGGCTGGCTCAGAGCCCGCCTTTTTCCTTTAATTCCAAGACTAGCAGGCCATTACCTCCTTGAGAAGGGAGTTCTGCTCTCCAACAGATCTAATGACTCTATAAGGAGCACATCTCACCTTCACTTTCTTCGCCTGGTGGAGCATAAAAAGACAACCCCAGGGAGATTATGGCAGCAATTTCAAGAATGATCAATGTCACATCTTGGAGGGCCTCCCATACTAACTGCAGGAAGGTCTTAGGCTTCTTTGGGGGGATGAAGTTCTGTCCGTAGATCTGCCTTCTCTTTTCCAGGTCAGCTGTGTTGTCCGAGAGGCCTGCGGAGGTGGAGGGGGGAAGAAGAGAGAGCAGATGACATCAAGCTGTACAAGTTGTAATTCCAAAACTAGGTGATTTATGGAGGGCTGTTGCCTGCTTTTCCATAAAAATGCTCCAAGTGGTGTATAAAGTTCAAATGTACTAGGAAAAAATACATTTAAAAAGCAAAGATTAAAAAACAAAGAGTGGATTTCCTGAATTGGTGAGGGGTTGGGTAAATGGCTTTTGAGGGTCCCTTCCATCTCTAGTGTCTCTTTGTGTAATTTCCAGTTCCCAACATTCTTTCTCCCTGTGGCCTAGGCTTAAATACTTGCCCTTGATACGCTACTCTTCCATATGCAAGCTATTTTCTTTTAGCGTGGAGGAGCATCCAGTCAAGTGAACCCATCCCCTTATACTTTGAAATGGTACAGCCAAGACACAGGCTAACTATCCCAGTGAGAAATTCCTGACTACACGTGCCTAGACCTGGGATGGGGAACCTGTGGCCCTCAGGTGTTGTTGGACTCCATCTTTCCTGATCATTAGCCATGCTGACTGGGACTTGAGTCCAGCAGGTTCCCCACACATGACCTAGACTATGAAATGTCATGGATGGAACCAGGAGTTCCCTGTTGCTGTTGTTTGGTTTAAGAGAGGCAGGGAGCACCTCCAGTCTATTGCCATTTTGGAGTGGGATTCAATCATATACAGTGGTACCTTGGGTTACAGATGCTTTGGGTTACAAACTCTACTAACCAGGAAGTGGTTGCTCCAGGTTAAGAACTTTGCCCCAGGATAAGAACGGAAATTGTGCGCCAGCAGCGCAGCGGCAGTGGGAGGCCCCATTAGCTAAAGTGGTACGTCTGGTTAAGAACCATTTCAGGTTAAGAACAAACCTCTGGAACGAATTAAGTTCTTAACCCGAGGTACCACTGTACTGTACTGGCAAATTCAGGATGTACAGTTATAGTTGATTGGGAGGTCTTCTGCAATAAACCCACTTCCCCCCAAAGTGAGGGAAAGTGAAAGTGAAATGCAGTGGAAAGGTTGGGGCACATTTGCCTTGATGCAACATAATCTAACTTCACAAGCAAATCAGAACAAATGCTCATTATATATCCAGCCTCCTCTAATCTCCCTGGAAACAACTCAGGATGAATGCTCAATAAACAGGTTGTCTGGAAGCAGCCAAAGAGAGGCCCAATAAAGTGATTGCCTGGCTTCCTGACTGGTGTGTCCTCTAAGCTGGGGATGGGGAATCTCTGGCCCTCTAGATGCTGTTAGACTCATCAGCCTCAGGCAGCAAAGGCAAAGGTCAGGAATGATGGGAATTGTAGTCCAACAAATATCTTGAAGGCCACAGGTTCCCCAAACCCTGCCCTTAGCTTTCCACAACAAAAGGATATATTTTTGTTGGGAGGAAAGGGTGATGGAATGGAAGTTGTGCACTGGCATTTGGATATTTCACCCAGAATCATAGAATCATAGAATTGTAGAACCTGCTTCACCACAGCCTGGGCTTGGTCACATGAGGATCCACAAAGAGGAATTTGTTCATTCTGTTAAAGGTACTCAAGGACTGCCTATCCCCATATGAACTGACCGGGACCCTGCAATACATGGGGCTGCCTATGAAGACCGTTCACAAACTTCAGATGGTGTAGAATTCAGCGGCCAGGTTGCTCACTGGGGCAAGACAGTTTGAGCATATAACACTAATCCTGACCCAACTGCACTGGCTACCAATTAGTTTCTGGGCCCAATTCAAAGTGCTGGTTTTGACCTATAAAGCCTTATGGCGCAGAACAGCAACACCTTAAGGACTGCCTCTCCTCAGATGAACCTATCTGAACCCTGTAATAATCATCTGAGGCCCTTATTCTGTGCCGCCTCCACGAGGGGTCCTAAGGATGTGAACACAAGAATGGGCCTTTTCTGCAGTGGCTCCTTGTTTGTGGAGGGCTGCTTGGTGCCTTTGTTACATATCTTTAGGCATCAGGGACAAACATTCCTCTTCTCCCAGGCCTTTGGCTAATTAAACAATGGGGGGGGTGTTATTGTTTTTGTTTATTACTGTGGTGTGTATTTTTGTGCTTTTATATTGTAAATTGCCCTGAGATCCTCAGATGAAGGGCGGAATATAAATTAAATAAATAAATAAATAAATAAATACAGAATTAAAAAATACCCCCCAATACTCTCCAACCTTATCTGTTTAGTACTCCCTCTTCTTACACTGGTGGGGAACTATTACGAGGATCAGCTACACACCTGAGTGGGGGCAGATGCATCTGGACTGTGGTGCACCTGGATGTCAACCAGTGTTAGAAACTCAGGTATATAAACTAGGCGCTAAATGGCTCCTTAAACAAAGGTTGCAGTCACCAAAACAGGATGTCTAGTTGCCATTTTGGGGCAAGACGGCTCTAAAGTCTTATTTTCCAAATGATGGACTGACTGTGATTGATTCTCAGTTAAACATCTGGCTAGCTGAGATGACAACCTTGAGCTAGGCTAAGAACGTTGAGAAGAAGTTCTTCTCAAAACAGAAAAGTCCCTTGATCCAGGGACAGTCCACATACTGTATATATTGGCCTATTCCTCCTTCTTTTTCTTAATGGTGACTGCTCCTGCTCAGGCTGCACAGAAAAAGCCTTTTGGTTCCTGAAATTCATTCTGATTGTGTAGGTAAAATATAACTAATAGAATTCTATAGGATGTGGTGTTAGTGTGTGAAAACAGTCAAGATCCAATGGTCCCCATACATGCACCTCTAGATGGTGCCAGCCTGTTGCCTAGGCATCTTCACTTGGCTGGAAGTGGTTGACAGCCAGGTGCAAAAAGCGCCTGGCTACTGGTTGATTTCGAACACTGATATTGGCCACTAAACACCAGTGTGTGGCAACCCTTGCTCTATACTCTTCTATATACAAAGGACAGAATGTTCTGAATGTGTTTGAACTCACAGCTGATCTCTCACAGCCTGATCTGCGATATCAACATTGTGAAAACATTTTTCCATATATAAGATGCCCCCTATTTTTTGGAACCCTAAATTAAGAAATCAATATTTTAAACATCAAGCAGAACAACTTTGATATTTTATTAAATATTCAAAGCACCAGCACCGGTGTAACAACTCCTGCTGGTTCCTGGGGTGGTGGGGTGCTCGCTTGTGGGGAGCAGCACAGCCTGCCCCCCAACACCTGAGATCGCCCAAAGTTGTTGTGCTTTTTGGGGGGAGATCAGCCAAGCCAAGCACCTGGGAAGGTCAGTGGCAGCTTCTGGCAGCTTCTTCATGGCAGCTGCAGGAAGGTACCATGTTTTGTTTTTTTAACCCCTGTGCATTCACCATCCGTGTATAAGACAACCCCCAAATTTTGTCTAAACCTTTTTAGCAAAAAGCATTGTCTTCTACAAGAAAAAATACGGTATTTTCTTTTGTTTCAAGTAAATGGTTATGGGCTGTATACACACCATACATTTAAAGCACATTGCACACTTCAAAGAATTATGGAAACTGTAGTTTACCCCCCAGCGAGCTACAATTCGCAGCACTCTTAACAACTTACAGCTCCCAGGATTCTTGGGGGAGGGGAAATGTGTTTTAAATGGCTGGTGTGCATGCAGCCAGGATGGCCAGTTTAATTTCATAGAGACTTTGGCTATGTGCAGTCAAGACAGTGATCCTTTCTCATGCTAATAAGTATTTATCACACAAGAGTCTTACTATTTTCAACTGCAAAATGCTGGAAGGCCTGGGCATCCCAAGTATTCTCAAGAAACAGACAACAATGCCGAAAGCACTGTTGTCATGCAGCAAAATTTGTTCTGAACTGCTGTACACCTGTGTTATAGACATTTCAAAGAGTTAACACCTGTGGCGATGGAGGAGGCCTTCGCCCCAGGCCCGGATCCCACTCCTGTGAGATGAAAGAGCCCCAGGGTAGCACTGCAGTCATTCTCTCTTCCTTTGCTTAGCCTTGGACTCAGGGTGGGAGGGCTTTGTGAAATATTAAAAATGTCAGAGGCCCAGGCAGCCAGCAGGAACCACAACTCAGGGTCTGTTGTCAGATCCCCTCCACAGCTGGCCATGAAAGAGACCGACCAGCAGATCACAGCAACCCTGAGGCCCTCTGACTAGGTGTGACTACCTTCCCAAAGCCAGGGATTCAGATTCCACTGACACTGCCTCCCAATCTGCTCCTTCTCCCTCTGACCCAGGGGTGAAACAAGGCTTTATTTCACCAGGGTCAAAAACCCAGTTTGGCATCACCAGCACACAAAAACACACAGGCTGGACGCCTCATTGGTGCGTCACCCGGGGCTACAGCTCTGCTCTGACCACTCATTGTCATCCCACCACCAATCCTCTAACTCTGAGCCCTCTTCCCTGGAGGTTCCCGACTGGTGCCTCCCACCGCTCCTCTGGGGAAAGGGTTAAACCTGCACCTCCCCCCTCACTCAAATAAATCAGAACGAATGCTGAATAAACAGCCAACACCAGGAGCTTCCAGACAACCTAGTTACTGAGCAATTCATCCTGATTTGTTGGCAGGGAGATTAGACAATATTGGCTATTTAATATGCATGTTTGTTTGTTTTTGTTTGTTTGTTTGTTTGTTTGTAGGGATATTAGATGCTGTTGCATTCCAGTGCATTTTTCAACCTTTGGAGAATGTGGGCTTGTGAGAGGCTTCCCAGCTGCTTTGTGATTGAATCCCATCAAAATATAGTGACAGTCAGGAAGTGGCCGTCATGTAACCTCTCCACAAACTTTGTGCAAACATATCAAGATGAGCACTTAATAAACAAGTTGTCCAGAAGTGACCCTCTGCCCACAGGCAGAAAACAAGGGCCAGTCTTTTCTCCTTAGATTAGAAAACAAAATGCCATAAACCTTGATGGTGCTACATAATAAAGCTGCAATTCTAAATGCATTTGCTAAGGCCTAGGCTCTCCTGAACACAGTGGGACTTGTTTGGGTAAGCATGCAGGGGAACTGTGCCCAAAGTAT